CATTAGAAATATGTGAATCATTAGGAAAAGTCATACTTGGTACAATAGCATGAGAATTCTGATAAATCGGTTGATTAGGAAATGTTGTCTCACAAGAATTCTGGATTTCATTTAACTCTGAACTGCCATATGACTCTGAACTGTCTTTTGAAATCGTTGATAAAGATAAATGATCATCATGAATACTCGACTCAGTAGAATCAGAATTACAAGACTTAATATTAATTGCAGTAAGATGAACATTAGCATTACAAACTGACTGAACTTGTCCAATATCACGACATTTGAAGCATTTAGAATTATGAAATTTACATGAATTAGAAGAGTGGAACTTGCAACAGGACAAACACCGACCAAACTTGTCCCCATCCTCGTGAACTGCATCCAAATTCAATGAATTGTCTGCATAACCTTGAGTATGCACTAGGTTGAGATGACGTAGTAATGTAGTGGACTTTTTTATATCCTCATGAATCATTTTACGAAATCTTCCTCCTTTACGACATTTGAAATTTGTATACTGAGCATAGTCTAGCAGTAGATCCTTGAGAGCTGTATAAGAAAGCGAAATGGGTTTTTCCGGCATAGCCAGAGTTCTTAATAAGCTGTATGCTTCTTTTCCAATGAATGTGAGGAAGTGTGCCACAATATTAACATCCTCATCATCTTCCTTGGTCATAGCCCAGATTTCGAACCTTTCAAAGTAATCTTCAAAAGCTTCTGAAGTTGAATGAATATCTAACTTTTCCATTGCAGGCTCCATCGCGACGCCAATATAGTATTCTACTTATAGTATGAATTAGGAATTCCAGGATTAACGCAATTGAATTAAGAAGACACAGGCACAAACGAATGTATTGTATTTAGAATTCGAAATCGAGCATTCAACAAGTACAAAAGAATCATTAGTTAATTCAAACACCACAGTTATTCTATCCTTTCTGGATAGATCATGTACAGATTCGCTCGAAAGATAGTATTTGGTTGCTTCATAACACAGTGTTTTCAATTCTGGAAGAGTGCTTCAATTCACAATCAAAGACGCACAATTCCAGTCAATGCAAGCAACACAATGAAAATGGGTAATAAATCAATACGGCTAACGCCAAGATCAAGTGTCAACTAAAACAACATAAATGCAGTTCAGGAAGAAACATGAAAACTCAGTGAAGGTGTAAGAAACATAAAAACTATGATAAAAATATTACCATCTCAAATGGAATCAAAATGACCAACAAAATGTGCATCTGAAGGAATCAATAAGAATAAATTATGAGTGTAAACACGGAGGGATTTTTACACCTAAAACCCGCAACATAAATTTTACACATAGTAATGGCCGTTTTTTAGTAGCTTAACATATAGCTATTACCAGTAGTTTGTGCTCATAAACAGAAAAACAATCACCATCGTAATAATGTTGATATTGGTATTGTCTTTGGTTCAAGATAGAAAGTCAAATAATGTCCGTGTTACTCAGTGGCAACGTCGATAGCATTCGATCTGCACTAATAAGGACTAGACAAGCATGACATTGATCACCACCCAGTGATCAATCAATTGTGATTACATCTCAGTCCTACAGGAGGTTAGTCACGGCTCGGATAGCTCAGTAGTAACGTCTCTGACTGTGAAGCTGGGTGACACGAGATCGAATCCGCCAGCGAGCACCAGTTCCCTCAAGATTACAGGTACACCTTGCTGACGAGTGCCAAGTAGCACGAAACCCGGGTCCAGGGTTTCCTGTTGACTACCTCCAACCACCATCTAAATCTCAATAGGTGTCATGGTGTTGTACGATGTTTTTTGCCAAATAAGTCTTTACACGATGATAAACGGTAAGTGCTGCTTGTATGATTATCAGGGTGAGTATAAGTTGTAGCCAAGGGAATAACAACTCCCGACTCATGTCTATGATAATGACATGAACCTTTGTCAACGTTGGAGTAAATTTGACAGTGATATTTTCAGTTTGTAGGAGATTTGCTCGACTGATAATACTGAGGATTTGCATGAATGCTTGTGTCGCTACAAATTCAATTAGATTGAAAAGGTTCTAAGATGCTTACTAAACGATCAGTTGATAGAGAAACATCGAGATAATCTGCAATAAATAAAGATAATCACGAGAAAAAACCATTTATTGATCATTGTTAGTTGATTTGTCGACTGAGTTTGTTTATAGTTTCACCAATTTTACCAATCACATTAAGTGGTTTTCAAGTCATGACAATGCTTTGTGGTATTAGTAGTCTCCAGAGTTTTTATATTGAACGCTTGCTTTATTAACAACTACTTGACAGTTTAGTAATTTTACCAGTGCAGCAAGATAATATCTTAATGCGGTGACCTTAGTACCTTAACTTTGTTCAACGTCTTTTTAGGCGACTAATATGTAAGTCCAATTCATAAGCCAAAATACGTATGGCAATAATGACTTTAATGGATTTGGTGGAAAATTTTAAAGGTGGTTCAAATAACTATCACATTCAAATGATATAAAAATAATATAATATTACGTATGTGCGAGCTAGGTTAACATGCACGTTGACGAGTAATACCACAGTTACAAAAAATGAACTTGGCCAAAAAATTAAAGGTTGAGACATGACTTATTGAACTACAGTTAGGAAAGCGACGGGTGTATTATGGACTTCTCACAAGTGGTTGCTGTGTTTAGCCTAGTAACATTGACAAATAAGCTGTACCGTTGCTACCTAATAAGACCAATCATGTGACGGTGGCTCGCCAGCCAAGTCTCTTCACATTTGAGGATAACCAAAGTGCATTACGCAACCATAGAACTTACTTGGGCCATAGAATAATTGTCGTACTCTATTTATCACTATGTCAAACAAACGATCCTTGTGCTGAGATTTTATTTGTTCTCTTTGAACATTTAGGAAACGTGGTAGCTCAGCCACTAAGTTAGGATAGTCATAGTATGCAGTTGTCGCTCGATGTAACCTATGGTAATTAGAAGTATTTGAACTATTGTGTCAACTAGGAATTTGCAAATAGTGTAATTTGAGCCAGATAGAACTAGTGAGCACAAACGAATACATTGTATTTAGAATCCAAAATCAACCAGTAATCAAGTAAAAAACAACCATTGGTTCATATTAACACCACATAACCTTAACGCAATTACACCATAAACGTTAGTATCGAGTGAATGGAGACCGTACATTTAAAAATGTGCAGCACATGAGTCATGGTCAAATATCCATAATTCTGATATACGTAGAATTTCAAACTATTGAAAATTTACTAGACGACCAGAAGCTTAGCAGTAGTTTGTTAGCTAAGTACAAATTGTTTTAAAATTATAGACAGCTAAAAGTAGCACGATACCTACGGGTAATTATAGGTTTTAAAGTATGATTCTCAAGAAGTCAGATGCTTTATCAAATCATTTTCTCTCATCTTAGACGTCAAAGATGTTACTAAGTTATTTCGATGAATTAGTTTACTCACCAATTTAGCTCATTTTGTATGCTACGTGTGATTGTTTAAACAAGTCGACTAACTACCTTTATAGAAATATTTGAAGCTTATGCTAATATTTGCACATTGTTTATAGTAATAAATTACCAAATGTTTATTTGAAAAGCAAACTTTTATTCCACTTTGTTTATTTTAGCGATTTCATTGCTGTTAGTCAACCGGAAGGTAGTAACCAGTATATCAACCCTTTTACTGATTTGAAATTCTACATTAAATTAATCTCTGTTGTGTCATGTCATGAAATGGCTACTTAACAGGTTTGTAATACCTGATATACAAGTAGTACAAACTATCATCTACGAGTGATATTGGTTCAACTTCTGTATCATCACAACTAAAATAAAAGTAAAAGTAACAAGCAGATTAGGAAATAACTCTTATACTTTGGAAGTATATTAATTACTCAACCGCCTTCACATTTTGTAGTACCCATGGCCAGCTGGGAAAGCTAGACACTTAATAATCTTCTACATAGAACTGATAATGTTTGTCTTCTAAATATCACACGAACATATGCTAACAAAACAATATTACTGAAGCTCTCCATTCTATTTGACCATAATAAAGGCCTAGAAGTGTGCCTCATAATGTGAACATATCACTTTACACACTTATCTATGGTAATTTTAGCTTTCGTGGCATTGGAATCGTTGATAGTCTTTTTCCCGGAAACTCTTTCATTCACATATCCCAGTACTTTATTAAAAGATAATACCTATTTTCGTACTTATATCATGTTCTCCTACCCAGCAACGGAAAACATAATGATTCTTGCATCACAAACTTTTTTTGAAATCTGCTCGAATGCTTCAGAAATATTCCGAAATATTTTGGGTGATATTAATATCACTGTAAAGCAACATAGAAATTTGACTAAGAGTTAAAAACTGAAATCTAGTCATCTCACTTTCACTATTCATTCAACTGATAGTATAATACGTCTATCGTTCTATGTCTTTAGCAATATTAAGTCAACTCCCTAGACTACCGGATTCTTTTCAACATTTAGTTTCATTGAAAATTCTTTTCATTTGTTTGAAACATTTTGAAACTATTTTTGCTTTATGAGGTTCTTTTTCTTCTTCTGCATATTTATTTTGGCAAATGAAGTTGCATGAATAAAGGTTTTGTTAGCAAAAATACTTTGCTAGTTGCAATTTGTCAGCAGTAAAAAGACCATTTTTGGCCCTTGTTGTTACTTCTATGTGGTATGACTGATATTTCTTACTACATTCACATTTGTAACTAGAAAATGAACAGCTTGTTGACCAAAGGTTTAAAGTGGTAATGACTAATACTTGAAATAATTGGTTGTTAAACCAAAATAAAGACAGCTGTTTGTCAATTTCTGGTTGTTTATAGCAACCATCAGCATAAATTGTTAGTGCTAAGGTCACTCCTGGAAAATCAATAACCACGTGGTTTTTGAAACACAATAATAATTACAACTTTGTTTTAATTAACAGTTTGTTGATTTTTGAATAATAAATCTGTGGAAGTATTCGTTAAATAATGGATGGTTTGATACTGTTTCGTCGACCTAGGAAAATTCCTAAGTCGAAATTATCAGAAAATAATAATAATGTTTATAAACCGAGAGAAACAAAGATTTCTATCACAAAAAAATACTCAGCTTCAAACAGTCATTTACCTATTTCAAATAGTATTGTATTTTCGTCTACTGGAACGACAATAAATTTCATGAATAAAAATAAAAATAAACGACAAGGTGATGTTGCAAATTTTGTAAACAATGGATTCGGCTGCCTTTTTATAAAAGGTGGTATGTTAAATAAAACGTTTAATGAAATAGAAAATGCTTCTGGTTCTCATAATAATAATAATAATAATAATAATAATAATAATAATAATAATAATAATAATAATAATGAATTTCAATATTCAATCGAAATTTGTAATCATTTTCAAATATCGGATCATACAGAAACAACACATAATTTAAAACAATTAAAATCCACTAATACCACTGGTTTCTTTTCAAAAAATAATTTTAATGATATATTGGAAATTATTCCTAAACCTATAAAACGGACACCATTATATCATGGTTTAATATTAATAGCTCGTGAATTAAGAAATGCTATAACTAGACCTATCGATACAAATCTCATATGTTCCATTGAAAAGATACCAAGAAATTTTCAACAATCATTAAATAATTATCAAGTGAATTATGCAATTATTTTAAAAGAGAAACTAAATCAAAATCAGTTAATTTGTTATGAGTAAGTTTCAATTAGACATTGAATTAATGAATAATTTGTTTCATATTTATTTATTTATTTCAAGTTCATCTGAAGAGAATACAATGAAATTGATAAAATTTCAAAAGAATTTAAAGTCTAATGAGTTTTATCAAGGTAAGTTACTTAAACATAGAACATATCATAGACAAACTGAATGACATAATAGTGATTCAATTAATGAATAGTTCCCATTATATTAAAACATAATTAACATGAACGTAGAATATTCCTTTCAAAAATTTCTCATCAGATTCTACAATTATCTCATATTCAAATTAATAATCCATAAAACTGGCCAGCTTTAAAGCAGAGTACATCATTTGGAAATTGTAATATGTGCATCAAGAATTGTTGTTTGTCAGATAAATTCAAATCAAATGGTTAATGTTGGAGCTAACTAATATAAAGTGTTAACTTGAATCAGTTGATAAGTGAAATGAAATTGTGAGATAAATGATCGGAATAAATATCGTCAATATGGGGTGAGAAAGAGACAATAATACAACAGAAGTCTACCAAATCCCGTCACACTGAGAATCCTGCGGACGACTGAAGTAATTGCTATTCGGATCAAAAAGCCAGAGCTCTCCATCCAAAAGAAATATGTTCGGCCGCTCCTTTTACACTGGCCAACTTCGGGACCAACTACTTAATAACCAATTTTATAATATGGTGACGTAATTTGATTAGTGTTCATTTTTATGTCCCAAACTTATTATTATTATCTTTATCATTGTTATTATTATCTCCATAATAATAATAATTATTATTATTACACTTGACACCCTTTTTGAGAAATTTATTCAGCATCCACCCCAATTTACTATATCTGACCTAATTCATATTATTCTACATATTACGTAATTTCTGATTGTTATTGCATTATTCTCTCTCCCTCACCTCATGCTCACCATATTTATTCCGATCATTTATCTCACAATTTCATTTCACTTATCAACTGATTCAAGTTAACACTTTATATTAGTTAGCTCCAACATTAACCATTTGATTTGAATTTATCTGACAAACAACAATTCTTGATGCACATATTACAATTTCCAAATGATGTACTCTGCTTTAAAGCTGGCCAGTTTTATGGATTATTAATTTGAATATGAGATAATTGTAGAATCTGATGAGAAATTATTGAAAAGAATATTCTTCGTTTATGTAATTCAATTAGTTGAATTATTTTCTTGTTAGATTGAACTAAAATTCTATTCAGAAAAAATATCTAAAATTAATAAAAAAGAAAAACGATAGAAGTGATATAAGAGTCAGTTTAGATTTAGGGCTTTACCACCTTGGTTTGGTTTAAAATTTATTCAACTATAAATGTATAACGGTATTGTAAGCAAAGATAGATAGTGGCTGGCAGTGGAATCCAGGACTGGCGTTTTGTCCTATTTGGGACTCGTCAGATGGATGTACTCACATCCCAGAGTTGATGTTTATTCCAGGACTCGAATCCAGTCCCATGCGCTTCAAACGTCATCCCGTTATCCACTTAGCTACTAAGTCCTGATAGCCACCTGCTCAGTAGCTGAGTGGAAAACGCGATGGCGTTTGAAGCGAACGGTACTGGATTTGAGTCCCGGAGTGAACATCAACACTGGGATGTAGGTACACTTAGATGATGAGTTCCAAATAAGACGAAACGCGCGTCCTGGACTCCACTGCTAGCCAATTTTATCACTGCTTATAAAGATTATGACTTAAAGCAATATCGAGGTAATCCTCATAGGATGCACATATGCTAACAAGAAACTGATCAGTTGCAGTCCTAAAGAACAATGGGAAGATGCAAGCAAACAATACCAAGTGAATTATTATTATATTGATTTAGCGAAAAGTTTACAAATTTCTATGTACTTTTCAATAGATTTTCTATTTATTGGAATTCACTTCTTTAATGAAAAAATGTAAGTAGAGGCTTAGAATATTGTGCACATTTACTAGTTGGCATTTACATATATTAATAATAGGTAATATTTTTGAGTTTATCGGTCATTTTCTGGTATAGATTTTAATTTTATTAGTTAAAACACTATAGAACAAGACAAATAAGTTTATTGACCCACCGAAACTTTCAAGAAATTTGAATCAAAATGTAGTATATAATGCTCTAAAATATGCTTCTTAAACGTTCACAGGGATTATTTTTTAATCATTTGGAGATTGAAAAGAAACGGTTAGTGCTAAGCTAAGAGTCAACTAGAAATTTCATAACATGAATCATAGGATGTAGTGATTAGTAAGTATTATGAAACTGAACAGGTTGAGTTTATTTATCACTCGTATTCTAACTAAGATATTCGGAGTTATCAGAAACTGTTTAGTTTTGATTTAGTAGGTCATTAGTCATTTTCAATGCATTTCTATTTCTGTGTGTAAATCGCAGAAACACATTGAAGTATCGCTGTGTTGCAGATGTTTGAAACATAGAAATTTTGGTTTTTAAGGTAAAAAAAATTGATCAGCCTATTTCGGCCCATGTACCTTTTGAACAATAAGATAGGCAGGAATAGAGCTAATTAAATTTTTTACCCTGGGATTCACACTTGGACACTAACATGAGTCTTTGTATCTTATTTGTAAGAAAATATGTAATATATAAGATAGTACTGAAAATATCAAGGTGTATGCACAACAGTAATTAACATATAGGCTGAAGCACATTCTTAGCAAGCAAGCCTTATGTTAATGCAACGACAACTGGACCATATATTGTGTTAAATACTTCTCGTATTAAAATACGAGTGCGGGAGATGATCAGTCGATTGTAACTATAGTAGCATAATTTGGTCTTGTAAGTAGCCCACAATCTTCAACAAATAAACCGTGAAAATCAGTAGAGTTAATGAAAGTATATGGGTATTTATAAAGTACTTGGATGGACTGTGAATGAATGGGTCAAGAACACGATTCGTTCTTAAGGTTAAATAGTGATCAAATAAATTCCAGAAATTATCACTTCGAAACTTTTAACTAGATAGGGATTTCTGTAAGATAAGACCTGATAAATTTCATAATAAACGTCAATAACTTCATATACTGTTTCTCTATACTGACCGGGCAATTATGAGACTTCTTTTGTTACCTTGATAAGTAACATAGTCCCAGGTGGTGTTGATTTATAAAGTAACCAATTGTTTCATCCCAGTTTTTCAAGACGTCACTGTCAATCGTGAGGTTATTCACCAGGTCACTTTAACATGAGAGAATAAATGTTCCAGTAACACCAGTAATCAACCATACCGTATATTAAAACTTGGTTATAGACAATTTCATATCTTGCTAGTTGATTAATTGTATTAATACATTTGGAAATGAAACTTTGATTCTTCAGGTCCTAGTTATAAGACTATTCAGGTTTTAAACACATTTGTTTAGATGGTAGCTTTTCTAGTTATTAAATTTAAAAAAGTAATAATTCCGTTAAGTCCATCTTATTTATTGATGGTCAATTAATGGTAATGATTTTATGAAAATCTTACAGCAACATATGTAAAACCTGAACAAGTCAAATTGTTGGATTCATACTATTCAGGGGGCAGTTCGGTTTCTTTGGAAGCCTGCCAGTTGAAGCATTTACCAGATTTATCTGCATTTTATGTGACGCTAAGATTCCTCAATCTTTCCAGGAATTATTTAGAGGTAAGAGTAGCTGTTCATTATGAATATATAATTGAAAATAAACGATGACCTACTAGTTGAATAATTTATCTTCAACCATCTGGTCAAAGTTAATAATGAATATATTTTTTGATATCCCAATGAGTAGAAAAATTGTATTTCTGACGTTTCTCGACTTATTGTAAGCCATTTTATCAGAATAAAGATTCAGACCTTGCTCCAGCTAAATTGGTTTGGGCAACTGGACGGTATTATTAGGTTTAAAATAAGCAGTATAACTCCAAGTCGATGATATCAACTTGGTAAATAAGTCGCAGATGAGATGACAGCTTTAAAAATCCTGCTTCGATACAAGTGAATCGTAAAATAATATTGAAATGATAACAACCTAAAGAAATGAAGTATATAATTAGCTAAAAATTTAGATCCCAAACAAACATCATATTATATAATATAGCGACTAATGTTGATCCATAATGACATCCACTTATAGCTATAAGGATACTTTTGAAAATTTAAACTACAGAAGAATTGCAATTTTTATGAAATGTATTTTTGTTTTATTTGGTTATTTTCTACAACTTCATAGTCAAGTCAATAGATTTGGTTAATCTGAATTATCAAAACACCTAAAAATTAGAAAGCGAACAGTTGGATATAATGCAAAACTGTGATATGGTTTAAATCAGAGTTTTGATGGAGTTTCGCAAGTTAGTAGAGCGATGATTTTGGTATACTGCAGATAGTAATTCCATTATACAATAAAATCAAAAGTTTTTGAGAACATAAGATGGAGAGAAGAAAGATTTCGAGATAAGGTCATTGTATTGCAAATATATTCATCATGAAAAAAAGTGAAAAAAAGATTCATACTGTATATTTCAATCAAATAAAAAAGTATTTAGGGTTTCTGCAAGTCTTAGTAAGGAGGAGGTATATAGTTCAATAGTTGAATGAGTTTATCGAATCTACCTCGTTTTCAGCCAATGGTTCCCAATCGAATTACCAGTATGGTTTTATTTTCTGAGACATAAATTACTTGTAGTACGCTCAATAATGTGCACAGAATGCCGCCGTCGTTTTATCTTTGGGCACCGAAACGTCTTATGATAATGCCGCTTATACAAAAAATCAATTATACGTATTAATAACGAGTGTTAAACTCAAAGAAAGGCGTTGTCAAGTTTCGTTTTATCTTTATTAATAATCCAATTCACTTGTTTGTTATAATATGGTTAAAATGATGTTTCTTCTGATCAACAGTTAGTAAATAACGATGATTCAATGTTTTCAACTAGAATCAATAGGAACAAGTATAATACGTTAATAATCGAAGTTAAATA